CGCCGCCAGGCCCAAACGAAGTGTCGTTTGGGCCTACCCGATGGGTGATGGTCCAAAATCAGGCCTTTAGGGCCTGTAACCCCAAAGGTCGGGCCCTTAGGCCCTGGTGTGTCCCTCCGGCCCTAAGTCGGGTCCGGTAGGACCCGTGTGACTCGAAGATGTAACACACTCCCCCTCTTAAAAGTCCGAGCTACCTGCGAGGGCGAAGTTGTCTGTCCGATACCGGGGTGGGTCGGGCGGGACGAGCTGTGTCCTTAGCAAGGCGTCGCTTCTCATAGTCTGCGAAGATGAGGGGTGCAGAAGTCTTCAAATCTTCACTGGAGATCCACCGAGTGTCATCAGGCGCACAATGCTTGAATGTGACCTTGTACTGCCTTGGCTTGTTGCCATACTTGCGGTGCGTGATGACTCGGTCAACTTCCTGATGTCCGTCCATAGAAGGCGGATCCTGTGATCGACGTCCGGGGAATTCGTCAGCTGGAGGTGGCATGTAGATGGCCAACTTCGATGCATGGAAGACCCGATGCACTGTTAGGTGCGGTGGAATGTTGATCACGAAGGAAGGACCGGCGGGGTCGTCTCCAACGACAGAAGTGACTTCCCATGGTCCGAACCATTTCGGAAGGAGTTTGCGCGAAACATCCTGCTCGAGCGCAAATTCCTCGGAGAGGACCCAAACGAGGTCTCCCTCGCGGAAAGGACATGGAAGTCGACGTCGGTTAGCTTGCTGCTGCATGCGGACCTGAGCCTTTTGCATATTCGCGCGGGCTTTGATCAACAAGTCTCGATACTTCCTGACAGAAGCGGAAGAGCAAGGGACGTCTATGTCGGCAACCTGTGGCAAAAGGAGATCAGCGAAGATCCGTGCTTTCTCTCCACCATGATGTAGCTCGAATGGTGTGACGCAGATCGCCGGGTGCACCGAAGTGTTGTAGGGGAACTCGATGTCGGGAAGCCGGTCAACCCAATCTTTCTGGTCGGGACGGATGAGCGTACGCAACATCCTCTGAGCGGTCTGGTGTGCTCGCTCCGTTTGACCATCCGTCTGTGGGTGCCGAGCCGAGCTCGGCTTCATTGTCGTGCCGGACTCCGTCATGAGAGAAGTCCAAAAGGCTGACATGAAGCGAGTGTCTCGGTCGCTCACTATGTCTTTCGGAACACCTTGGTTGGTAATCCAACCGGTGTGCAAGAGTCGTGCGAGCTCAGGCGCTACAGCATGATACTTGCAAGGAAGAAAACGAGCATACTTACTCCAATGGTCAACGACCGTGAGAATACCGTCATGGCCGTGGCGATCGTGGGGAAACGGGCCTGTCACGTCCATAGCAATGGAGAGGCGTCGTGCCCGAGGAATCGGCAACGGTTTCAGTTCGCCGAAGGGAACTCGAGATTGACCCTTATTACGGTGGCAAACTGCACATGACTCAATGTACCTCGTGACGTCATGAAGGACGTCGGGCCAGTGAAAACGCTGGCGGAGGCGTGCTAGTGTGCGGTTCACGCCAAGGTGTGCCGAAAGTCGTGCATCGTGGAATTCGCCGAGAAGACGAGTCCGTAAGATACGATCTTGGGGCACAACTAACAAGTCCTTTCCTCTCGTGTGAAGGAGAAGGAACCCGTCGGAAATCCGATAGTGGCTAGCCGGCGGGTGATCCGATGAAAGCTCTGTGTAAAGCGTAGAGTAAGTCGGATCGGACTTGTAGCTTTTGACGAAATGCTGCTGCAGATCGTCATCGAGGTCGAATGCCGTGGTCACAATGGCGCAAAAGTCTGGCCGTCGTGAGAGGGCGTCCGCCGCTCGATTGKCGGGACCGGGAATGTGACACGGGTCAAAATCGAACTGGTCGATG